TCTCTGTGTCTAACTATAAATTAAACTTCATCATATATGGGAAAAAAACATAATACATGTAGGGTTTGGTATTATATCCGTAGTTTCAGATATCCATGAGGGCAGTGTGGGGAACATATTCCCTATGATGAGGGAGGAAATATTGTGCTTCTCCTTTAAGCACAGATTATAAGATGTGGGTGCTGGGCATTTATTAGCCCAAATTGCCTTCGAAAGTGGCTAGAGTCACTTAGCTCCTGACGTGTGTACACGAATTCTCATTTCCCCCACACTCTTGATGGTATGTGCTCGAAAGTCCTAAAGCTATGGTTATTCACTAAAATTCGATCCACTACACTTTTTATTAATTTGAGCTGAATGCCACCTGGTGAGGTCTAACAATTCTTTTAATTAATTCTGGTGAACCTGGTAAGGTATTCGTTTTATTCACAAGTACACTTTTCCCTTGGCCTTTAGATCTGATTTATAATTAGGCTCCTTCTGTGAGAAATACTGGCTCATTCAAAATTCTATGCATGGACTAGAAGGCTACAGGCTCATGCAAGAAAAGATTTTTACAAGAAGGGCAAGTGTTTACATCTCTGCCAATATGTCTGGGTTCCCTATTCCCACATATCCTGTGATCACAGTCCCTCCTTCTCTGGTTTCTGAAGTTTGGAATGACAATCTTTGCTCCTGAGACATGAGCTTCTCAATGAAAAAGAATGATTCAAACACCTTCATTAACTTGGTACTTACTGCTTGCACAGGGATTATAATTTTATTCCATTTTTACAACTCTTCCTTCTACCCTTTCGCAACTGTCATTTATAGACTAGAAAACCGAGGGTTGAGAATTAAATGACTGGCCCAAGGCGAAACCATAATGCCCACCCAGGCTTTTCGGACTCTTGAAAAGGACTTTTGTGATCCACTTTAATGCAGAAGAAGTTAAGTAGAAAATCAGACAATAGTGACACGAGATAACAGAAAGCCTAGAAATAGCATCTCCACAACAAATACGGGAAGGGAAGAAAGCCACTAACGAAATGAAGGCATGTGCTGTGCAGAGTGCTTTGTAGTTTATGAAAAGCTACGTGGTGCAGCATGACACAGTGATTAGGAGCACCCACTGGAGCCAGATGGCCTGGCTGCAAATGTCAGCTTTGTCACTTTTGAGCTGTGTGGCTTTAGGAACGTTAACTTCTCTGTGCTGCTGTTTTCTCAGCTATATAGTGGCGATAAAAATAGTGTCTATTTTTCAGTGGGTTGCTGTAATGATTAGATAGGATAGTTTAGAGGTGTGTGTGTGTGTGTGTGTGTGTGTGTGTGTGTGTGTGTGTGCTTGACAGGGTGTCACTATATAATTCAGGTTGGCCTTTAACTCACTTTGTAGCCCAGGCTGGCCTTGAACTTCTTCTCCCTCAGCCTCCCAAGTGCTGGGATTACAGGTGTGCATGTAATCATGCCCAGCTAACAGGATAGTATTTGCAAAGAAAATGGGATAGTGCCTGACACATAATCAGCGCGATAGGAGCATGTCACAGTTACCATTACAAAGGAATTTGGAGCTCCCTGTTGTTACTCCCGGGCTAACAACAAGGAAAAGGAAGCTAGAGGGAGGTAAGCAAATAACCCAAGATCATGGAGTTGGTTAGTGGCAGACCTGGATCAGAACCTAGGTCTCTGTCACTCTATTCAACTAAATAGAAGCAGAGGGGGTCACAGCAGGCTGGGGTGCACCTTTAGGAAAGGGTGAGCTTAGCCAGGCTGGTGATGCATGTCCGTAATCCCACTACTGGGGAAGCTGAGGCAGGAGGATTGCCATGAGGTCAAGGCCAGCATGCAGTCTGGGCTACATAGCGATTTCAAAGCCAGCCTGAACTATATAGTGAGACGCTATCTCCAGGGGGAAAATGGGCAAAGTAGCTACATACTTACCTGATATCTCCCTTTTCCGTGCTATAGAGGCAGTCATATTTGTACACGTAGGCATGATACGTCATTCCCCTGATTAAAACCTTGCAGTGGCTCACAGGACTCTGGGGACTTGAGCTAAACCCCTCCATTTGGCCTGCAAGATCCTGCCAGGTCTGGGTTATTTGAGTTCGTTTTGTATTGCTGCACCACCATATCCAAGGCTAGGTACTTTGTAAATAAATAGTTTGTTGGTCTACAGTTCTAATGGCTGGCAGGTGGCAAGGGGTGCCAGTGTCCTGGGAACTGTCCCCTGGCTGTGTCACAACCTGGCGGGGAGGTAGAAAGGGAACTGGCCTTGTGCAGAAGAGACCAAGGCATGGGGAGCTTCTCTTTACAACTACACGCTCTAGAAAGACAACGTTAATCCACTCATGAGGGTGGAGCTCTTGTGACCTTGTCACCTTCCACTAGGCCTCACCTCCGAAAGATTCCACCACCTTAACACTGCCACGATGGAGACCAGGCTTCCGGTACAGGAAACTTTAGCGCACAGGCCACATCGAAACCACAGCACGGGCCTCCTTCTGCTTCCTGCCTCCTGGCTCAAGCCCCGAGTTCTTCCTGTTCCTCAAAGCTCGGCTCCAGACTTGGAGAGGCACTTGGAGTTTTCTTAGTTCAGCCAAATTCTGTTCAGCCTTTAAGCTTCAGCTGAGGATTCCGTTTTTCTGGGAAGCTTTTTTGTATTTTTCGCTTCACTCTTCACTTTTTTTTTTCCCTCCTGACACTCTCTAACCTCCCTCCCCTTCCTTCCTCTTAGTTCTTTTCGCAGTACTGGGGACCAAACACAGGGCCTTTGCACTGAGCTCCATCCTTAGCCCTTTTTAATTTTTATTCTGAGAGAGGGGCTCACTAAATCACTAAGTTGCCCAGGCTCAGGTTGAACATGTGATCCTTCCGCCTCAGCTTCCTAGAGAGCTGGGATTGTAGGCCTGTGTCACAGCTTCTGGCACCACTTTTCCTTCTGGGTAGCAATTATTATTCAGCGCTATAATTGTTGTCTTCGCTCCCCAAAGGCAATTTTCTGTCTCTCATTCCATGCTATACCTGGCACCACGCAGAGGAATTAGAATTAACATACTGAGGAGTAGAAAATAGAGATGCAAGTCAAAATGGAAGAAGCTACTGTCAAAGGGAAACATGTTGCTAGGTGAGTATTATGGTATCTAGATGTCCCCACAAAGCCTCATGCACTCAGGTGGGGCTTGTCAGAAGTGGCTGGACCTAGGATATGTGAATTTGGATTAAAGGTATGCGATAACTAAATTACTCCACTGATTGGTTTAGCATAATTCTGGGTGTGGATAATAGGAAGGGTCCACCTCGGCGTGGGTGGCACCAACCAAAAGGCTCTTAGCCTGCATGGGATAAAAGGAAAAGGAAGGCTAGCTGTTTGCTGTTTCCTGCCTGCCATGCTATGGACTATTCTCCTCTGCCATGACCCTCTGCTCTGCTTTACAGCCCGATAACTATGAACTAAAACCTCTACAAACTGTGAGCAAAAAATAAACCTTACTTCCTTTCACTTTAGGTGCCATGTATTTTGTCTCAGCCACAAGAAAAGTAGCTAAGACAATGAGAAAATGGGATTATTAAAAGGAGAAACAGGAATATTTCTGGGCATAGTAAAAGAGTTTGGTTAGAATGTCCAAAGGAAAAGACATTGTGGGAAGAGGAGGGATAAGAAAGAAGGATCCGGATGAGGGAGAAAAGAGGAATATTGAGAGTTAGGTTCCAGAACAGGTAAGTGTGGTTTTGGGTGACCATTTACCTTGGTTTTCCCAGGACTGTCTCAATTTTAGAGCGAAAAGTCCTGCATCCCAGGAAAACTCTTAGTCCAGGCAAACCTACTTTGGTCAACCCTGAATGGAACTCAGATCACTGGAGGAATCATTAGTCTTGGGCAGAAGAGTTACCTTTTTCTTGAATTATAAGAGGAGGTGGAGAAATGGAGAAAACCAGGATTAAATAAACAAGTGTCTGCGTTTTGGAACCCGGGCCAAGGTCTACCTTTTACTTAGCTCTGTGATCTTGCAATTACTTAAGTTCAGTTTCCTGTAGTTTGGGGCTAATTCAACAAGAACGAATCATGTGCAAGGGCTTATCCCAGTTGAAGGCTCACTTCTTTTTTGTTTTCGTTTTTCCCTAACTCTTACTGTTACTCTCCTCTCTCACTCTTCTAGGGATGGTAACATCCTCCATCTTTGTCCTTGACCTTTTCCAGTTTTGTTCTCACTGCTCCAACCGGCTGCTCACTGAGTCGCTTCCACCGCTAGGGGGAAGAAGAGAACAAACCAAGACAGGTGTTTCTCTAGTCCTCCCAGGCGCTCTCTCTATGGCTCTAGCCGCGG